ATCCTTATTGTTATTAATAAAAGTTTATCATATATGCGAATTAGAGTGTCAGAATGGAAAGAGGTCTGGATTTGGAGCCCAAGGACCTATTTAAAGGGCTGTCACATGGAATGGATTAATTAACCTTGTCCTGTCTGACCCTAGAGGGAAGACCCAGGAGCAATGACAAAAGTTACAAGAGGCTATGTTAGCTAGATGTCAGGAAAAATTCTCTGTGACCCCATTCGGGGTTTTCTTGGCAAAGATACTACAGTGGTTTACCATTTCCTTCTCCAGCTCAATTGACAGATGAGAAAGCTGAGGCAAACAGGGTTAAGTGACTTGCCTAGGGTCACACAGCTGGTAAGTTTCTGAGGCCTGATTTGAACTCAGAAAGACGTCTTCCTGACTCTATCCACTTGTGCCACCTAGCTGGTGGCACAAATATTATCTCATTTGATCTGGGGGTCTTAGCAGACCACAAGCTCAATAGGAGAAGATATTCTTTTTCATCTCCAGGCTGTACTCCTGACTCTTAGGACTACCTTCCCCTTCTCTTTTTAGTTCCCTTTTATGTGTTCTCTTCCCTTACTAGAATGTAAGCTCCTTCTGGGCAAGGATTGTTTTGTTTGTATCCCCTAGCAGCAAGCACAATGCCTAGACCATAACAAGCACTTAGTAAATGCTTATTGACTTGATTTATTGACTGTGTGACCTTCTGCAAATCATTGAACTTCTCCATTCTTTGATCTCCTCATCAGTAAATGGACTAGATGCCTTAGAGGTCCTCTCCAGCTCTAAAGTGATGATCCTATGATTTCTGTGCTATGAGCTGTATGCTGTTAGGTACTGCAGTCAGTCAGTCAAGTATTTATTAAGCACTTACTATGTGCCAGACACTGTGCTAAATGCTGGGGATACAAAAAGAAGCTAAAGACAGTTCCTGCCCTTGAGGAGTTTACAATCTAATCGGGGAGACAACATGAAAAAAAAAAAAACCTACGTACAAACAAGCTACATACAGGCTAAATAGGAAATAATTAAGAGAAGGCACTAGAATTGAAACTTGTTGAAAAAGCCTTCCTGCGGAAGGTAGGATTTTACTTGGGACTTGAAGGAAGCCAGTAGGCAGAGATGAGGAGGGAGCGCATTCCAGGCATGTGGGACAGTCAGAGAAAATGCCCAGAGCCCAGAGCTAGAATGTTTTCTTTGTGGAAAAACAAGGAAGTCAAGATGGAGGAACATATTATTTAGAGGATTCTCTCTGAGTCAGCTTCCCTCAACTCTTACCTGTGACAACTGAGTTTGAATAATAGGAGGACCACGCGATCAAAGCCTGCTGTGAATGTCCTATCAGGGACAGGGAAGCTTTAAAGGGCTTTACTTTGAATAGATGTTGGACAAAATAAAATCCACACCCAGGTTATAAACCACGGACCCACAGAGAGCAACAGAAATACAAAACCTAAGCCAGTCAAATGGAAAGCATGTGTTGCTTCTTTGCTATTGCAAGACGGGGAAGAGAGTCACAGCTGGACTTGCAAAAATCATCATCTGGGTCCAAGTCACAGTTTAAAACAGCTGAGATTCTGGGCAGGCAGCTGAGTCCTCAATGACTAATGTAACATCTCTGGGGAGAGAATGGGTTCTGTGTTTGGTATGGGACCCCAGTGAACGAGGCATTAGGCTTAATGATTCCTTGATGAAGTCCTCCATCTTCTGTCTTTCCCATTTGAACATAAGCTCATTGAGAGCAGGGATCATTATATTCTTGAATTTGCATCCTCAGTGCCCAGCACTGTGCCTGGCACATTGGCACATAGTTGTGGATTGATCATTTACTTGATCATAGGTGGGACTGGCCCAGGCAACAGAGTCAAAATCTCAGAACTGTAGAATGTCAAGAGTCAGAAGGAATCTGGTACAATTCCAGTCTGAAGCACAAATCACTACTAAGGTGGCCCTGATAGGTGGTATTAGTATTTCCAGTGTGGCTCGTAGGGTTTTAGCTAGCAGGTAATTACTACCCAGGGCAGCCAGTTCTATTTTTAGATAGATGTAAAGTATTGCACTTGCATACCAAAAACTTGGCTTCGCACTTATTAGATAGTGAAGGTATGGTTAGACAGCAGTTAATCCCTTCCCTTTTAAATAATAATAATACTAACAGTGAACATTTATACAGTGCCAACTATGTACCAGGCACTGTGCTAAGTGCTTTATCTATCTCATTTGAAATGAGGGTTTTACTATGCCCAAAGGACTATAAAAATGTGCATACCTTTTGACCCAGCAATAGTACTTCTAGGGCTGTATCCCAAAGGGATCATACAAATGGGAAAAGGACCCACATGTACAAAAAATTTATAGCAGCTCTTTTTATGATGGCAAAGAATTGAAAATTGAGGGAATGCCCATCAACTGGGGAATGGCTGAACAAGTTGTAGTATATGAATGTAATGGAATACTATTGTGCTATAAGAAATGATGAGCAGGAAGATTTCAGAAAAACCTGGAAAGACTTGCATGGACTGATACTGAGTGAAGCAAGCAGAACCAGGAGAACATTGTACACAGTAACAGACACATTGTGTGATGATAAACATCGATAGACTTAGCACTTCTCAGCAATGCAAGGATCTAAGACATCTCCAAAAACCTCAAGATGGAAAATGCTATCCACATCCAAAGAAAGAACTACGGAGTTTGAATGCAGATCGAAGCATACTATTTACTATTTTTTTCTTTTGTTTTGTTTTCTCTTTCTTGTGGTTCCTCCTATTGGTTCTAATTCTTCCTTACAACATGACTAATGTGACAATATGTTTAATAGGAAAGTATATGTATAGCCTATATCAGATTGTGTGCCATCTCGGTGAGGGAGGTGGAGAGGGAGGGAAGAAAAATTTAAAACTCAAAAGCTTATGGAAGTGATTGTTGATAAATTAAGATAAATTAATTTTTTAAAAAGAATGAAACTAAAAAAAAAAAAAAGAAATAAGAGTTTTAGTGGATGGCAACTTCAATAGGAGAAGGTAATTTGATGTGACAGCCAAAAGAATCAATATGAGCTGGAGCTGCATTAATAGGGACAGAGCTTCCAGAAAAATGGAAGGGGCATCCCACTGTCTTCTGTCTGGTCTGGACACTAAAGTGAAAAAGATCATTGTTAAAATAGAGAATGTCTAGAGGAGAACAACCAGGATGGGGAAGGACCTGGAGTTCGTGACACAGAAGGATCCGCTGAAAGAACTGGGCACATTTAGCGTGGTGATAAGAAGACTCTGGGAGACACAATTGTTTTGGAATAGCTGTCACATGGAAGAGAGAGGAGACTTTTTCCATCTGGCCCCAGAGGGCAGAACTGGAAGCAATGAATGGATATTGCAAAGAAGCCAGTTTAGGTTTGTTGTCAAGAGAAACTTGTGAACAATTTCAGCTGCTTCCAAATAGAATGGATGACCTCAAGAGGTGGTGAGTCCCCTCTCCTTGATGGTCATTGAGCAGAGGCCAGATATCCACTTGTTAAGTATCTTATGATGAAAATTCTTTTGTGTAAGAATTGGACTAGAGGCCCAGCCTAACTCCCTGAATCTGGAGTTCTGTTAACAATAACTGGCATTACATATGGCTTTGATGTTTACAATGAACTTTCTCTCTCTCTCTCTCTCTCTCTCACACACACACACACACACTTTCTTTGTGTGTGTATATATTATATGCACACACAAAACCACACATGTATACACACGTGTACACATATGTCTATAATATATGATATATTACATATTATAATTAATAATTATACCACTGTGTTGTTTTATAATATGTATCTATAATATATGTATACATTTATGTGTATACACACATATAAATATATGTATACACATTATATATACCTACACCCCCCCCCATAATCCCATTTGGTCTTGACAACAATTCTGTGAAAATAATACTACAGGTAATATCTCTATTTTTGGATGATAAAACTGAAGTTCAGACTCACAAATTGAGTTAAGATTCAGAAACAGTCTGGCAGACTGTAAGAATTTGGTATTGACATGAATTGAATAAGATGAAATTTAATTGGAAAAATTGTAAAGTTGTATGTGGGTTCAAAAAGCTCACCTTCACAAGTACAAAATCAGAGGAGGTATAACTAGACATGAGTTGGTCTGAAAAGATCTGAGAGTTTTAGTGAACTGCAAGCTTAATATGGGTCAATAGTGTGATATGGCAGTCAAGGAAGCTATTGTAAACTGAGGCTGCATTAGAAGAGGCTCAGTTTCCAGGTACAAGGTAATGGCTCTTCTCTATGCACCCTGGTCAGACCATGTCTCACATCCGTTATGGGTACCACAAATTAGGAAAGACCCTGATGGGCTGAATAGCATCCAGAGGAGAGCAAACAGGACAGTGACTTGTCTAAGCTGTGGTATGACACAGGTTTGGCATCGGGGATGGGTGTATGGGTAAACTATCACCGCATCCTTCAATTCACAAAGGCAATTTTCCTCTTGGGGACCCCAAAATGAATGTTTGGAACTGCGACATGCTATGGGATCCTAGGTTTAGAATTGGAAGAGAACCTCTGGTTCAAGCCTTTCATTTTACAGATGAGGAAGCTTAGGACCATCAAGGTTAAGTCCCTTGCCTAGGGTTGCACAGGCAGCATCAGAATTTGAACCCAGGCCCTCTGACTCCAAAGCCAGCTCTGTTTCCATTGTACCGCTACTAGATGTTTAAACAATGCAGGCTCCATCGGCAAGCCCTCAATTTGTGTACTGTCATTATGTTTCCTAACAGGACCCAAAGTTTGAGGTTTCGCTCCCAGCTGGGCTTTTGTGCCTCACACACACACACACACACACACACACACAGAGTTCAAAATGACCACATTTTCCAAACCGTCCCCAACAACCATCTCTTCTCCCCAGGCACACCGCCCCTCCTGGTGCCCTTCCTCCTCAAGGTTCACTTTCCACACCTCAGCCCACCCTCCCCACACTGAGCATACTCACCAGAAAAGCCCCCCTGGAGCACTAAAGCCAATTGCAGAGCCCAGATGAAGAGCATGATTTCCCGGTCTTCCCGATCTGGCTCCCACTCCCTAATGCAGAGGTGCACCCCTGTCAGAGAGGCGCAGGAAACCCTCCCCCTTCAGTTGGGGAATCTCCACCTCCTTCTCCCTGGGCTTTTATGAAGAGGTTGAGCCAGAGCACAGGGAGAAAATGCTCCACAGCCCAGCCAACATTCTGATGCTGTTCTGTTCCTCCTTTCCTTGTTCCCAGGGCAAACTCACGCATGCACGAACACATACGCACATTCACACACGCTCTTTAAGTTCCAGCGAGGCAGGCGGGCTGTCAGAGAGCCAAAGTTGCTCAAACTTGGAAGGCTTTGGTCCATCTGGACCCAGCCTGAGTGATACTGGGCGGCCTCAAAGAGAATGGGGTGCCCTGGGTAAGCTAGTTGTGTGACTGGGGCGGAGGAAACTGGCTAAGACAGGGAATGTGGCATTTTCTCCCTTTCTCTTAAGAAACAGTTTTTAAACTTTCTGCCCTGAAGGCATTGATCCTCCAGGTCCTCAAAAACTCTTTATTTCAATGAATTAAAAACAACTCTGCTGACTCCAGCTCACTTACATCAATGTTCAGTGGCCTCTTTGATTATAATGGGACAATTTAAATAGCTGTGACTGATCTCCTCTCTCACGTACTCACCATGACATTCTCATCCATGATCCTAAGAAACCCTCTGGGACTTCAGAATATTCTATCCAGAGCTACTTGCAGGAGAGGGGAATTCATAAAATACTAAAACTGGAAGGGAGCTTAGATGTCATCTAGTCTGATATTCTTATTTTACAAAAGAAGAAAATGAACTCTAGCTACGGGAATCATCTGTAACTCATGGGAATTTTTTTTTGCTTTCTCTGCCTTTTGAAATTCCCATGAGCCCTGGAATGATTCAGAAGGGACCAGGAGTGAGTTCAAAGAGATGTTTTGTGATGACCCCACAAGAAGAGAAAGGATGGGGTATTAAGCCCCTTTGGTACCAGAGCTGACTTACCTTGGTTGGCCACAAGTATTCCCTGTTTATGTCTCATTACTGTTGCCCCGTAAGTTTAAGACTACTTTTAGATGCTGTTTGTATTTGAGAGAGTGTACCCTAGGTTTATGGGAAGAGGAGATATTTTGTAGTTATTATTTTCACTGTAGCATCTTAGTAAATGACTTGGTTAATTGTATCTAATAATTGTTCATAGGAAGCACATGGGTGGGGGCTTCTGATCTATAGTAATAGAAGCCTGGACCCTTAGATTACGTTGTAGAACCTAAGAGAAGCTTAACTTCTGAAGACACAACTCAGATTTGAGTACAAGTAACATTAGACTGTTAAGTTCCTTCATTAGATTGTAAACTCCTTAAGGCCAGGGACCGTCTTTTGCCTTTTTTGTATCCCCAAGGCTTAGCACAGTGCCTGATATATAGTAGGTGTTTAATAAATTTTTATTGATTGATTGATTGATTGAAATGCAAACTGGGGAGAATAGTCCAGAGGTGGTGTCTAAAAAGCGTAATTGAGGGATCAGAGACTCACTTTACATCTGACAGTTCTATTACTGGATGAGATGTCTTTTTCTGGGTGAATATCTCTACTGCTAGATGACGTGATGGATGAGAAGGGGAGGAGAGAGAAATTCCCTCCTCCCCCCACCCCTCAAAGCCTGGATTCATAGCCTGGACTGATTTGAGCTTCCTCACAAGTCAACTATTTCCAGGGCCTAGCAATTTGAGCCCTGCATGTCATGGCCAACTTTGAGTTCAGCCAGTGGGGGCTGCCCCTTCCAATCCAATAAGGTGTTCATACTTAGTGAAGGGTGTTAACACCTTGCTAACACAATTCATGACTCATTACTTTTGTGGTCTGTCCTCAGTTTTCTTCTATTTTTCTACAGCAGCTAGCTGGGGGCCAAATGCCTTCCCCTTCATCTGCCATCTTTTGTCCAAGGGATATAATCCTTCTGGTCTGTCCATTCTCTACGAGCCTCTTTTAGGTGTGGGTATTTCCCTGTACAAAAAATTGAGGATGGAAAAGGAAGAAATACATAACAATATCTATCTCAGGATATATAAGAGAACGAGATATTTACATTAAAACTGTAGTGATTGATATGTTGTGTGTTTAAATCAATAAGTACAGACTGAAGAGAAACTAAAAGTGAACTTTCCCAGGAGGTGAGCACTTTTCATCTCCTAGACCAGACCTGAGGAGGCAGTATTTGACACAGGTGATAGAGGGCATTTTTCCAAAGGAAAAAGGGTCCGCCGAAGGCCACTGTGGAGACTAATGCCAGCTTTTTCAGGCTTTAGTTTCCCTCTAGTGGCCAACAGAATGCATGACTGTGTCAGTGTAAGTGAAAAGGTCATTGAAAAGAAGTTGGATACTGAGTAATCAAAAACAATTATGTCCCCTGGACACTGCAGCCATGGTGCTCATGGATCTTTGAACTTTTTTTAATTCACAAGGTCATCTACTGAGGAAAGAAAATAAAATAGATGTAGAGCTCACACTGCTCCATCCAAATATTTGAGGTTAGAAAGGAAGAAAGAGGCAGAGGGCTTAGTTACTTAGTCACCATCATCACTTCCTCTGCTATGAAAACCAGTAAGGAGATTTCAGCATTTCAGAGTAGGAACCTTTAGCCCTGAGTTTTGTGTGACCCGCTAGGTGGTGCAGTCGATAGAGCGCTGGGCTTGGAGTCAGGAGGACTGGAATTCAAGTCTGACCTCAGACTAGCTTTGTGACCCTGGGCAAGTCATTTAACCCTGTTTGCCTCAGTTTCCTCATCTGTAAAATGAGCTGGGGAAGGAAATGGCAAACCATTCCAATATCTTTGCCAAGAAAACCCCAAATGGGGTCACGAAGAGTAGGACACAACTGAAACAACTCAACAACGACAATTCATGTGGCCAGAGCCCTTGTGCAGTAGACAAGAGCTAGGCTGGAAATATCTACACATGCTCCATGGGATGGTACTCATTACACCTAACTACAGTCGATTCTCAACATTCGCGGGAGTTCAACTTTTGAAACTCCAAGCAGCTGTGTGATAGCTGGCACATTCATGGCTGTGTGCAATAGAGACAGAGTGATCAGTGTTGGAGATGATATCTGAGACCACCAGTCTTCCGAGCAAATGGGGAAGGGGTGTGGAGCAAAAGTTGGCTGCCTCCTTTTGGCTCCTTCTAGCTCAGCCTGGAGCCAAACTCTTTAGTGGGGGAAGAACACAGCTGCATGGCCTGGGGTGCTTAGCGAGGAGAGGGCGGTCACTCCTCTCTTGGTAAGTACTGGCTCTGTTCCCAGAACTGTTGGAACCAAAAAGGGGCTGGAAATGGGGTACATGAAACCATGCTGCGGTGCTGGTCGACTGGGCTCAGCCTTTGGTTTTCAGAGGGTGGCCATGGTAGGGAGGTTTATAGTACAACACCCTCACACTGCCATCTGACACAGTGGAAGGTAAGATTTGGGTTAAAAATGTTTTAGTTTTAAGAATTTTATTTGCTGTACGGTATTTATGGAACTATAGATTTCATGTGTTATGAAAAGGGACCATTGTCTGAAATTAATGTTTTTTATGGAGACGTTAGCACAAAATTACAAAAAGTAATTTTAGAAAATTACTAGTGAGAAAAATGATTTATTTGCATGTTACCAATTTTATTTTGCATACTGCATTTTATGGGTGATTTCATGTGTTAGGAAAAGTACATATTATCAGAATTAATGTTTTGTTAGAAAGATTTATATGTGTAAAATGTATTTTCAGTAATCTCTAGCAAAAGATTACAATTTTTGATGATCAGGAAACCTAATTCCATATTTGCCATAGGTTCAATGTTTCAACATTGGCATTTTTTGCTTTTGTACCATTTTCTTTTTATTCCTTCCTTCTTTCCTTTTTTTTTTGCTTTTAAAAATATATTTTTCCCCAATTACACATTAAAACAAATTTTAATATTTGTATTTGGTGAACGTTTTTCAGGGGATCCCTTCCCCACCCTCTTAATCGTGTTTTTCATTCCAATTACATGTAAAGCTAGTTTTCAACAGTCATTTTTGTAAGATTTTGAGTTCCAAATTCTTCTCCCTCCCCCCCTTCCCTTCTTCCTCCCCAAGAGAGCCAACAATCTGATATAGGTTACACATGTACAATCATGTTAAACATATTTCCACATTGGTCATGTTGTGAAACGAGAATCAGAACAAAAGGGAAAAACCACGAGACAGAAAAAACAACAAAACAATAAAAAAGTGAAAATAGTATGCTTTGATCTGCATTCAGACTCCATAGTTCTTTCTCTGGATGTAGATAGCATTTTCTATCACAAATCTTTTGGAATTATCTTGGATCATTGTATTGCTAAGAAGAGTTAAGTCTATCATAGTTGATCATCATACCATGTTGCTGTTATTGTGTACAGTGTTCTCCTGGTTCTGCTCACTGCTTTTGGGAAAGTTTGAGTTCCTCCCTCCCTTCTTCCTGAGACGGTAAGCAATCAGATACAGGTTATACATGTACAATCACGTAAAACATTTCCATATTAGTCATTTTGTATAAGAAGACTTGAATGAAAGGAAGAAAGTGAAAAATAGCATGTTTCAGTCTGTATTCGAACAATATCAGTACTTTCTCTGGAGGTGGATAGTATGCTTCATCATTAGTCCTTTGAAATTGTCTTGGATCATTGTATTGCTGAGAATAGCTAAGTCATTCACAGTTCTTCACTATACGATATTGCTGTTACTATGTACAACATTCTCCTGGTTCTGCTCACTTCACGTTGTATCAGTTCGTGTTAGTCTTTTACCAAGTTTTTCTAAAATCATCCTATTTGTCATTTCTTATAGCAGAATAATATTCCATCACAATGTTTAGCCATTCCCTAATTAATGGATATCCCTTCTATTTCCAGTTCTTAGCCACCACAAAAGGGCTGCCATAAATATTTTTGTCTAAATAGGTCCTTCCCTCGTCCCGCCCCCACTTTTTTTCTTTTTTAATGTCTTTGGGATATAGACCGAGCGATGGTATTGCTGGATCAAAGGGTGTACACAGGTTTATAGACCTTTGGGAATAGTTCCAAATTTTTTTGTGCCATTTTCTAGAAATGTTACTCCCATTAAAGTTGAGGACTGATTGAATATTTCTTTGTCATGAAAAGACCCACAGATTCCCCTGCATACCCCAAAGAGGCCATTAATAAGATGAAAATCCACATATAGACAAAAATAT